CCCGGGTCGACCCGGTCCGGAGACCCGTCGACCAAGTTTCGAAATTTTTTTTTTTTTAATTTTTTTTTTTTTTTTTTTTTTTTTTTTTTTAAAACCCCTCCCCCCCCCCCCGCCCCCCCGCCGGCCCCCCCCCCCCGCGGCGGCGCCCTCGCGGCGGCCCGCCGGTCACCAGGGAATCCCGCTGTGACCGACACTCGGGCTCCGCCGTCAGGGGAAACGGCAAAGCTGGAACTAAACTCCATTCACTGACTTGTAAGCGATGCACTGGCAGCATGGCCAAGTGGTTCAAGGAGCACCTAGGTTTCAAAACTACCAAAGCACCCCCTCCGGCGCCTCCCAAACCGGACTACCGACACTGTCACACCGGTGTGCCCACGGCGCCAGGCTTCCAGCAAACAAGCTCCGGGGTCACCTTCCCGAACCCGGCGCAGCCGGACATAGTCGCTGCCTACAAACTTCAAAAAGAGCTCGACTTCGAGGATCCCTACAGCACCGGTGCGAACATTTCTTTCGGGACGACTTCCAACACCTCTCCGGATATCAAGTACGTGTCGCCGAAACACCGACTCATCAAAGTGGAAACTGTAGAGAAGAGCAGCCCGGCACCGGGCGGAGGAGTCACCGTCGCCCAGACCGTGGCCGTGAGCAGCGTCAAGTCTCCCACTTCACCTGCCCCGGAGCACGACAACAAGGAGAAGGTGGGTGAGAGCGGCCGAAGTTTCTGTACATGCACTAAAGCAAAACTTCTAAAAGTGGTCCAATTAGAAGGAGGAAAAAAAAAAAACTAAAAACATTTTTAATCACAATAACATGTATATATTTACTCAAACCATTTATATTGCACATGATGTCTATTGCACCAAATATTTGAAATGTGTTCTCTTTCATATATTGCACCATTGGATTTCAAAAACCTGTTATTTAGCTGCACAGACTGCACACAGGACCCCCCCACCCCCAGCCCCCAGGGGCCAAACGGCCTGGTGAATGGAGGTCACCCACCTCACACACACGGATGTGTGCAATTGACAGCTTTATGAAATATCTGCGAGTGTGTGTGTGTGTGTTTCTCGACTGTGCCTGTAATGACCGATGACGATCTATAGTTCACATTTCTGAACATTCCACTATTGAATATTAGTGTCAGTTAGCAACAGATCATCACTTATTTTTGTGTTTTTGTGTTTATTGTGGAGGAGAAAAAAAACCCAAGAAAGACAAAAACATTTATCCTGGGGCTGAAGACGTGACAGTTTTCAGTGATCGGACAAATGTCAGGCTTAAAACCTTAAGAAAGACAGC